AGAGTAAAGAAGATCTTAGACTAGGAGAAGACAGAAGATTTGCTGTTCCCCATGGAAGGTAAAATTTGACACTTCTTGAAGAAGGAATTAAGATGTATTTGCATGGAACTTGGTAAAAGAATTAACAGGTTTTCTTTCTGTCTCCCCTCCTGATGACAGACGTCATCACCCATAGGAGGGTATCTTGATAGAAAAAGTGCAGCAAACAAGTCGTCAAAAGCTCAACAGATGCTTGAGCATATCAAGCATCAAGTTCAAGTCTTTTCGAGGACAGAGCTTTTCACAGAAAAGAATGAACAGGTTGTCTTTCACAGGAACTCGGAGCTTCCAAGACACGGGGACCTCACCCAGCAGGGTGCAGTGGGCTGAAATGCCTGATAAACAGCTCTGATAAACCGGCACAGGAAAGAGGACAGGCTGTGGCAGCCCCAGGTAGCCCTCAGTCAGAACTAAGGTCTGATGCAAGAAGGGGGGAAAAAAAAAGGAGGAAAAAAGGGAACAAAAGGGAAAACAGAAAACCCCAAACCAACCACGGCCACCTTAGAGCAGCGTCAGGGAGAAGCTAGGCCACTTTGCCAAGCACCTTGTATAGCTCTTTATGCTGATAAAAAACATTCCTAGCCGACAGACCAGGAAGCTCTTGAATGCAAGGAACCAACACTCACACAAACAGATGATATAGTTAAGTAGTTCAAGATGCCAAGCTCCAGAGAATTTCTATTTGGATTGGAAAGTGACTGTATTTGTCTTAATACAGCACAGCTCCCTGTCTGCAGTTTCCCATTACATCATTTCCCTTTTCTAACACACTTAAACATCTAGTAAATGGCCAGCTTCCTAGCTCGTACAGGTTCATATTCAGTCTGCTTTAGAAGTTATTTCCAATATAGGACATTCTTCCATCTTTCTTACCAAACAAAACAAAGCCCCTCAACTAGAAGTATAAAGACTTCTTTACCAACCCCTTTCTAACATTCAAAACTTCTTGTCCCGGAGAGCCTGCCACATTCTCGTAGGCAGTCCTGACTGCATTTAAGCTACATCACTTGCACTGTCACTAGTGCAATTATGTTTTTAAATCCATTGTGAAATCCTGCTATTGGCCTTTGCTTGTAAAAGCAGTCATAGTCATGAGCATCCAGGAAAGTGTAACTTCACCAAAATCAAGGCTCAGAACTCAGTAGACTCTTTATTTCACTTGGTTTTGGTAAAGGCTTTAGAATAGCTTACATCCTGGCATTAGACATTTTACAGCTTTTTTTTTAATTGCAGAAAAGCACATAAATGACAGGGTAATGGACAGATTTCAGTGTGATACCAAGTGGATGCAATAATCCTTAAACAGGTATCTCATGTCTACTCGCTAACTGGAACAACCTTCTTCCCATCAGAAATCCAGTTGCAGATAGCCAGGTTTCTACAGTCAAAGACAGCACTGAAAGAGCAACATCTCAGACTTGGTCAGGTGCAGGCCAGGCAGTTGTGGTTTGTCTGCTGCTCCTGAAGACCTGCTCAAAGCCAAGGTTTCAACCATTCTCTCTGGGAACTGGCCCTGCCCCAGCTGATACTGTCAGGTGAGCAGTGCCTTGCGCTGCAAGTCTCCCTTGTGCTGTTCAGCAGACTCAGTTGTGCAGATCAACTCTACCCTGTCTCACTTGTAATCAGTGCAAATGACGCTATACTAATATTTCAGTATCTAGCAAACATTTACCCCACCCCTCACACACTGGGACGGAACTCAAAGGAATGGGTTAGATGACTGATAAAACCAAAAGGACGAGCACACTGTCCTTCCAAGTCTCGTAAAGCCTCTAGCAATGTTTGAATCTGGCCGAGTCTTTCATGGGTCTGAGCAAACATTTCTCCCTGCTAATGTTCTAGCACCACTTCAAGTTTCATAGCCAGCCCCACCCACATCTCTTAAGCCATCTCTGAATATTGTCCTTGAAGAGACTTAGGACTAGTAAAAGGTCCACAGAGAAACAATTTGCTAGAAAGAATGTGATGGGTGAAGTTTGTACATTTTGCCGATTTCCAAAAGAAAAATCAAGTTAGATGGAGAAACACAAAGTCACCATTTCACACTAAGAAAACAGAAGTTTCTGAACCTAAAGTTCATTTGTTCTCACCCAGGGCACCAAGCTGTTGCAAGAAATTATGTTTGGTAGGAGTAATTTAAGGTAAAGAGACTAGAGGTGAATATTAATCATGAATTAAGAATTTCAGTGAGATCTCTGGCCACAATTTAGCAAAACTGGGAAGAGGTCCCTGCCAGAAAGATTTGCAAAAACACACATCAGTTCTGGGCAGACACTTATCAGTACAGTGACTCCAATCCCTCATGTTGAAGTTTATGACCTTTCTCATATTAACACACATGCACATCCAATTTATTGTATAGCTATTTACAGATCACCAATCTTTCAAGACACATCTAGTTTTGTTCTCACACTTATGTAAAGAACACGTCTACATCAACTTGTCAATCACACGATTGAACAGGGAAGGCACAATCCCATAAATAAGGCACCCCGACACTAACTTGGGGTAGCTCTCATTGGCTGGCCCAGGGGCACTGCCTAGTGAAGGAGATGACCTTATGTCGTGACAGAGAACACGCAAGGTTGACAATTTCCCTGGCTGTTGCTCATCATCAGGTAAGACTAATCATTAACAGTCTTGTACCTTGCCTACACAGCAAGTGAGCTTTCCCCCTTTTCCCTTTTGCTCATGCCTAGATTGCTTGCATTCCACTCAGGCTTAATTACGTTGATTGTCAACTTTACTATAATAATGTAAGTTCATCAAACTTGGTCCTTAGTCTGTCGCTGTTTTATCATTTGATAGCTAAAGAATCCTTGCTGTGTAACGGGGGGGGGGGAAGAATTTTAAAAATAATCAAAAGAATAAGGAAGTACCCCCCAAATTCAAAACACTACGTACATAAGTACGTACCACGGAAAGGGTGGTCAAGAATTGGAACAGGCTGCCCAGAGAGGTGGTGGAGTCCCCATCCCTGGAAGTGTTCCAAAAACGGGTAGATGTGGCACTTCGGGACATGGTTTAGTCTAGTCTACTCTTGATTGGCTTAGAGTAGACTTGGTAGTGTAGGTTAATGGTTGGACTGGATGATCTTAAAGGTCTTTTCCAACCTAAACGATTCTATGATTCTAAGTACAACATGGTATCTCTCTTCAAGGTCTATGGTTATTGGTCTATGCCAACATTCAGACGAGCTTGTTCTGCCCCATTCTAACTGCACAAAGTGACAAAATCTGCTCCACAAAACAACCACTTGAAAAAATTTCAACTTACAAATCCTCTTAAAAATCTTTCCTTCCCATTTGCAATTTCATATCACTCCCAACAGCACCTACAGCGATCATGTGTGTGGAATAGTCACTGAAGAGTAGTACTTATGATCAGTCTTAACACAGCATGTGTTAATCACAGTAACTTTGCTTTTTTGGTTGTTGCTGGTTTTTTTTAATAAAGTTCTCTTACATGGTTTACAATTCCGGAAGTAGAACTTACATATGCATAGGACAGTGCAAGCCAACTGACACTTCATCTGAATTTTTATTAAAAACTCATGAGAATGTATAGAAACTCCTAGAAGCCACATCTTCCAGCAGCCTAGAGAATACTCAATTTCAAAATTAAAGCTCTTAGCAAGGAAAAAAAAAAAAAAAAAAACAGAGAATACTCAATTTCAAAATTAAAGCTCTTAGCATGAAAAAAAAAAAAAAAAAATTACCACTAGATTTTTTGGGTATTTCAAGCCTGGCTACAGGGACTTTTCACTGTCAAAAAATAAAAAAAATCCTGTCACCTGCATTCTTAAGAAGATCATGGTGACACAAAGATCCCCTTTCTTTTATTATGCAAATAAAGCTTTCCAAATATTAATCCAGGACTTTATTCATACAATAAAGGGGAAATTTACCCTAGATGGAAGCCCACATTAAAAATGATCCAGCAGATTTTGGGTTGTCCCCAATATCTCAAGCCTTAATCTCCAGCAAAGAACAAGGCTAGAGCATCTCATTATCAAGTCTGTGAAATACGTAACTGTTCTGCAAGAACAGTTTCCCACAACTTTTGAGTTTTGTGAAATGCAAGCTTCATACCTGAAACCACCTGCATTTAAACAAAGTAGATACAAATCAGGACACCAGCAAAAAAACTTGTCTGACCAATAATCAGTCTGAGACAGGTACTATAATCAGAAACAGATTATGTACATACCGATTACATCATGAAGTGCCCACAACCTTGATGGAGGTTAAACAGCTGCTTCTGGATTTACTTAAGATCCCAGAATAGAAGCGTATGGAAAATGAAAATGATTTTTAGTTTCTGATAAAGTTAAAAATACTACAAATTTTTAGCTTTTATTGAAAATTAAATATATTAGCAAAAGCAGGATTTAAGAAATATTTTACAAATGATTTACATACAAGAAAGCCAGTATCGGACATATTCACAAATATGCAAACCTTTAATTACAAAAAGTACCTATTGGCAGCATGATGCTAACCTTGCCACTGCAGTGTGCTCTACTATTCATACGAATAAGGCATAGAACTCACATTTGCACCAACTTAAAAAGTTCAAATAAAACTTTAAGCTTTTAAATCCTGAATGCACAATCCCCAGTACACACACGCACACACCCTCTAAGATTTCTTCTTCTAAGCTCTATAAACTAAGTGTGTGCTCTGGAAGAACAGCCAGCCTGAAAAGGCCAGTAGAAATGTAACTGGTATTAGCATTTCAGTTTCCTCTTTAACATGTACAGGCCCAGGTATGTAAACCATATTCACAGTTTAAGTGTTTTTAGACAGAAGTATCTTTTTTTTTTTTTTTGCATTTGTTACTTAAAATTGGCTCTCAGTTCAGCATACAGTTCATAATGTCACCTGTTTTATGATGCATACATTTACAAGATAACTTAAAAATCTGTGCCATATTCATGGTCAAGATAATTCAACAAGAGTAGTAATATCCAACAGTGACATTCAATACTATATTTCAAATATTTGTGCAAACAGCAAAAGAACAGTTGTATGAGGCAAACATTTGCAAAACCTTTAACACCTCAACGTTGTAAACTTGGACTGTCAGCCTTAAGTCCTGCACTTCCCACAGCTTTAAAAAGTCAGTGGCTAAAATTATCAAGTCTCAAAAAGGTTCTCTTCTACATAGTGCAAATCGTAATGTAGATAACATGAAAGATATATCTAGCTGGATTGACTTTGTGCAACCATCAGTGGTCTTCTCTCATAGTTGAAGAAAGTGTGCATTCAAAGAACCACGTGGTTCAGGAAGTCGGGAGCGTGGGGAGGAGAGAAAAAGCAGTTCCATTACACTTCTCAAACCAGTGCCAGATGTGCAAAGGCAGCAAAAATTCCAGCTGCTACTACAACCAGAACAGAGTAACTTTTCAGGAAGACCCAGGCAGTTAGTCACTTGGACTGGTCTCTAGAAAAATATGTGAGTATATGTTGGATTTTTATCAGACGGTCTTTTAAAGACATCATGGAGAGAACTGACAGCTGATATCTGGGGTCTACTGGGAGAACAGCTAGAAGCCACCAACACCAAGCAGGACCATTGGGCATTGCCTAAAAATAAAAGATAAGTTGGTTACCCATAACCAATGTAGTATAGTTGACTAAGACTAAGACATCAAAAGACAAAGCTGTCAATGACAAAGCCTAGTTTAAAGTTTGATACTAACTAGAGAATTCCAGATCCACGAGATCAGAAGGGTTCTGAAGGGATCTCTTCTGATCCCTCCCCAGCTGAGAAGTTAAATAAAGTACACTTAAACTAAGCTTGATAAAGCAATTATTTTTTAAGACAACAAAGGAAGCTCCTGGCTTCCTTGGGAAAAGATGGTTAAGTATAGGACAGTCACCTAGTAACAAACCTCCATGATAAAAACTAAATCCATTACCTGTCATGCTATTCTTGAGGATTGAATATTCTTAAAACCTAACGCTTTCATTACGATTGTCTTTTTTATATTTGAAGGACTCCTCCATCACCTCCCAGTTCCACTCCCTTCTCATTAAATAGTTCTGTTCTGTCAAGGAGGTAATCAGTTTCTTCTAAGTTGATAAAACATACTATGTAACTTTTTCCTGTACTTTATTCAATTCTCTACACCAAGCCTTAGATGTCATGCCCAGAACTGGACATAACACTCTTCAGCAGAGGTCCTGTCACTGCAGAGAAGATTAATTACCTCAAATGACTTGCAAAAATATTACTGGTAGTGGTATACTCCAGGATGACATTTCCTCTCTTGCATCTGTATCACACAGTTGACACATTTGTGCTCTATTATAAAATCTCAGGCGCATACCCACAGTATTGCTGCCCTGCTAGTTATCCTGCTTTTGCACACTTATTCCTCTTTCCTAGTACGTTGTTTTAAATCTGTGGGGTTTTTTATTAAATTGTTCTGAAATCACTTCTGAATTCATGCACTGGCCTCCACAGCATCTACAGTCCTCCCAGACTGCTTAATATAGTCTCATAAAAGTATGTAGCAGATGGGTGAGGGACAAGCTCTCATAAGATCCCACTTCATATATAGTTCCACTTTGAAAGCCAAATTTTACGTATTTTTAAATGTTACGTTTCTCCAGCCTCCATTCTCTCAGGATCCCACCAACCTTCATTAATTGTTTATAATAACCATTAAAATAGATTGCTGCAGCTAGTTTCTTAAGAAACATTTGTCAAATCCTAGCAGCTGCAGCAGTTTATGGCACTAGCTCAGAAAGGAGGAAAGTGTTATTCGTGATTACCTCTTTGCCAAAGATTACTACCTGCACATATCACAGGGAAGAAAAAAAATTTTTTTTTTTTCCATTTGAATTCTAACAAACAGATTTACACAAACCAACAGTTTAAAATGCTACCAGAAAGTAAAGTGTTCTCAGTTTACTAGTTTTATCTCCACAGCAGCACATCATCCTTTCCTGCAAAAAACACTGAACAGTGACAGAATTGCCTTTTGTTGCTCATCATAAGAGAAACAAGATACAAGCCTTCTGCCTTCAAAGTTGGGGAAATTTTTTTTTTCTTTTAATGTTTAGCAGTTGTTAAGAGGGTTTTTATTTTTAGAAGCAAGCACCTAATAATTGATATTCAATGATGTCTCACCTGTATATCTTCCTCCCTGGCAGGCATTGGCCCGAAGTGCTGAAGAATCTGAGTGCGAAATTTGTTTCTTAAGTTTTGGAACCAACTGCGGGCCTGATTGTAAACAAAATTGTGAAGTTCTGTCAGTTTCTTTAGTTCTTCTTCATCAGCAACCTACAGGAGGAATGTTACGAAAATATCATTAGAGATAAAGAAACAATTAAGGCATTTAAGTTAAAAAAAAAAAAAAATCCAATTTCAACTATATTTAGAAACATTTCTTGCATTCTCCTAAACCTTGATTGCTAATCACTGAATAGTAAAGTCACATTTTAAGAAGTTATAGCTTCAAACTATTGTTCAAAGAAAAACCACAGTGTTTCTTTGTTGCTTTATAATAATAAAAAATTAAGCTAGCTTCCATTTCTTCCACGTGCTGGCACTGAATCTTGCAGTGGTCTACAGGCCTAAAAATTTGAAACAGAGCTCTCAAGAACAAATCCAGCAAAAATCTTGAGATATTAATACTCTTAAGTATTTATACAGCATTCTGGATACCTTAACATCTTCCAAATATTCGATGTCTGCAGTGCAATAACCATCTTTCATCCCTCTCCGTAAAACTCTAAATCTCTTTCCACCAACTGTATCAACAACAGACCGTCCATCAGGTAGAAAATGAATGTTCCTAATTTGCAGCATGCATCCATAATCTGCAAAACTAGAAAAGTGACCTTGTCAGTAATGCAAGTACACACTTTTGAAAGGACACTTCTTATAATTAAAAAAAAAGACATAAGAAATGAGAAGCTTAGAATTAGGATATAAACCTACCCATTTTGCGAATCACTTATACACATCCCAAATTGTTTAGTCCCAGTTTCCATACTTCTGCGAATCATTAGTCGGTATCTTGGCTCAAACACATGTAGAGGGCAAGGCACAGTAGGATATGCCATAGTGCAAATAAACATTGGAACATTCTTAGTCAAGCTTCAAGAGAACATCAAAAGAAATATGTGGCTTAAAAATCTAATCACTGAACTATGCCAAGACAATACTTTTTTTTCAGTATGTTTGCTACATTTGAGGTCATAAAGCACTCTTTTCAAAGTTGAATAATAAGCACATTGTAATAACTTTCATAACGAATAAAAACCATACTAATAACAGTGACTGAACACCTATGTACTGATTTAAATACATACTGCACAGTAAACCTCATAGTTACCTAGTTAGTGAGTATCTAGTCAGTGAATGAAGGACTTTGTTTTGGGGACACAGGTGTTTTAGAGCCATACAAGCCATTATGTCCTCAGAGTCACAGTTTTCCTGGACTAAAAAGATGTAGCAGTGACTATATAGCAGCTAGTTCACCATTTAGATTATTTTCAATAATGGACTCCAGATCACAAGATGCAACCCAGGGTATAACTTTTTCCTAGCAATATGCCTCAGCATACCTAATTGAAAAACAAAGTATTTTTTTCATGCTATTTTATCAAGTATGTACAGTTGATAGTTGATACAAACAAGTTAGCATTAAAATGTTACCAGGTATTTAATTTTAATACCTTTCAGACTATAAAACATAATTCTAATGTATGGATTCTGCCACATAAGTTGCATGAGCTGTAGTTTTAAATAGTTTTCCAACATTCATGTCTACAATACATGACACTTTATATATCTGAAGAACTCTAGTAGAGATAAACATCAAGATTACAAAAAAATCCCAACAATTTATTTTCATCACATCTATCTTTATACAATTAATGTAGATCATGAACTGCTTTAAATGAAATTCAAGTATCAGACTCTGCAGCCAACTCAAGAGGACAATTCCATTGACAGCAGCAAAGCTAAAACTGCAGCTCCACAACAGTGCACACAAAGAGAAACAGAAGTGCAAGCCTGTTTTGTAGAAGACTTAAGAGCCTCACACTGCTACTATCAAAGTGTGATTTTTTTATTTCCACAGTAGTTTAAAAAAACCTGTTAGTTTTCTGAAATACACATTTAAGACACCAAATTAACATGTCTTTATACACCTTCTTGCATCCATAATATGCCGTTATTAATAATCACGAAAATGATAAAACACTTCTAAAAAGGATTTCCATAGTAATCTCTCAAGTTTTCTAGATGAGAGACAGGAAGCTTGCTTACTTTGAGTGTTCAGCAGTTTCTTCAGCATGAATTCTTTTTCTCTCGTATAATTCATCAGACAAGTATTTCATTATTAATTCCTCCAGCAGTTCTGTGATGCTGTATTTTCTGCTTGCAAGGTACTGTAAGCAATTTAAAAAATGTATTACTATTTCTTTTCATATATATTAACAAAAGACTTGAAAAAATGCAGCTTTCATTAAAAACCATGATATATGAAATGTGTCATAAATTAGATTTAAACCCATGAAAACTTACAGCTCTGAAGTTCTCCTGTTTCACTACTTAACACCTAATGTCACTCCAACGTTTGAGTCTCTATTTTAGTTCTTAGTGTCTGACAACTCGAGTGTCTAACTCAGTTTGTATTTCTATGCTTACAAGAGACAGAATTGATTTCCCAGGTTATACAGCCCTACAAATAACGAAGGTGTACAGAAATCACAGAGGGATTTTACTGAATAGTTACCAAAGTTTATAAACACTCAGGATTTAATTACACCAACAAAGTAGATGGTCACAGAAACATAAAACCTCTAACACCCTGAGGCAAACCTGATCAACTTGCATTGACAAAATCTGCCTCAAGTTTGTCCTTTCTGGCAGCAATCCATAACCCCGGGGAATCCAAGTTGTTGGGTTTAAGTGAAACAGCCTTTAAGATGATACAATATTTGTATTTGTGAGCTTTGCTGACAGACAGTACCTCTTTCAAACTCTCCTTACAGAGTGGACACTGAGGAGCATGGTCTAAACAACGTTCCAAGCAACCTTTGCAAAAAGTATGTCCACAAGGGGTTGTCACTGGCTCAAAGAATAGCCTGAAACAAAGTTATTAAAAGTTAGATACCATGGCAAGTGTGTTTTGCTAAAGTCGTCAGTGATCGACATCTTTAATTTTTAAGACTAGTTACACCCTAACAAAGCAGAGAAAATTAACCCCACATCTCCTTATTCTACTTTCTCCCCTACACTGCAGTTTGTTTCCATTTACCACTGCACCACTCATTTTTTGCGTTTTCTGATGAATCTGGACACATTTCAACACTCTAAATATCTAAACATTTATCCCAATGTACAAAGATTTTGGTCTCACTATATAGAGATTCAGAATATGCAAAATTAAGTGATTCTTTGAGGACCTGAGTTGTTTTAATAGCATTATTATGTACTAGTAATGTAACTACGGACAGTTTAGTATACACCATGTGTTTTAAGGTATTTATTCTGAAAATCAAGATGACTCAATAAGAGCTTTCAAATACATCAGCTACATTTAAGTAGACGAACATTCCGAAGTATCTACATCTCCTAGACAAATATGAGGTTCACAGGCAATACTTCTAAGCATTAGCCTTCCCGAAATAGTAAGTTAAATAGTTTTATTGACTGAAAACCCTCCTAACATTTAACTGCAAAAGATCCTGTCCTTTTCAGGTTACCAGTTAAAAATGCCAAGTTTAATTTAAAAGGCAGCTTGATTAAAATAATGCTGTATTATATAGTGTTATAGCAAGTGACACATTTAAATAAGCATGTAACTGCAGGGATGGAGGAAGGCTGAAAATTATTGACTGATAGTGGAACTCATCACAATCTGTAAGTACCTCAGTTTATATGTGTACCAGATACGTGGCCAAGTACCTAAAATGGCAATACTGAGTCAAGGAGGAAACCTCACCTCATACACAGAGAGCACTCAAAATCCGATACATCAATCAAATCCCCTGGAATTGTCCCAAAAGCCAGTGTCACATCCCTTTTTGTACTTTCTAAGGAAAAGCAAGACAAAATACTCCTTCAAAGAAAGGCACAAGACAGTAAATACTTTTAATTTCCAAGTAAGTGGCTGTTTACCTCCTTGCTTTTTGTGTTTGTTTCTTCCATCTTCACATACAACTGTATCGTGTTCGGAAAAGGAAAGCTTTCTTTTCAACAAAGCACCTTTTTCTTGGCCAGAGAGAAGGGGTTCAGAAGACACTCTCTTTAAGCCATCTTCCTTGGCAAGGTCTTTTGTTGAGTTAAGAGCATGGGCAGACTGTGCACGATTTAAACTTCCACTGACAGGCTCCAGTACTTCTGATCCTCCTAAACTCTATAATAGTAAGATGAACTGAACTGTACTTAAAGAGTAACACAAACCTAAGTATATAAGATGTGAACATGCAAAGATATATAAGCCAAACTGATACCCACAGTTAGTTCATTAGTTGACTAGAGGAATTTGATAAGACAGTATTCAAATTTGCTTAGCATTAACTATTTAAAAATCTTCATCTGATTCACAGAGAAGAAAAACTGTATTTCTCTCTATTTTGAAGTCACTAATACCAAATCTCAGTACCTTCTAATAAGTAGTTCACTGGAATGAGGAGTCTAACACTCCAAATGAAAATACATTACTCCCAAATCACAGTTCTTTTCTGCCAATTTAGCCAATTACAGAAAGTCGGAATTTAGGCTGGAAAGTAAGTATGACAAATAAAGACATCAGAACATCTGATGTTTGCTTATCAGCCAAAGAAAAAAGTTATCCTATAGTTTTTGTTACCTGCTCAGGACAAAGCTGTAAGTTGCAGTAAGACTCAGTCATCTCAGAACCAAGTACAAAAGATTTATTTCGAATATGTGGTGAATTCCAAGCAGATTCCTTCAGACTCTCTCCTAACTTCTCTGGTGACAGCACATCACACAATGTCTAGAAAACAAACAGCTAAATGTTCATAACAATAATAAAGCTATATGTCTACACCCTTTTTCATAAAACCACATACCAAAAAAAAAGAATTTAATCTATATGGCGTTATCCTCATAAATAGACCTTTACTGAAGCAGTAACTCAGAAAGAACAGTTGAGAATGAGCAGAAACCTACATACCTATATTACTAAAAAGAAATTTATCTAGAAATCTTTTCTACTACAAGTGAGTGAGCTCTTTGAACAGAGTTAGACATTACCAATTCGTTATTTTGTGGTTTTTTCAATGCAAATCTTTACTATCAAAGAAAAACTGTTGTGCTCTGGGCACAACAACAGAGTTGAAAGAGTTCAACTTAGCATATTTAACTTGCTCCCTGCTTTCCAGTTTTCTAGATTTTCATTTAGTAACTTCAAAAGCATAAGTACTTTGAAATGTGTACTTGTACATTAGGACTATCTCTTCAACATAGTATGATATATCTTGAAAGGAACTAATCTGTCACCTGAACCTTCTCTGTGTGAAGATTTTTAGATGCTCAAAGTCTACTATAATAGGACCTTTATAAAGGAAGCGAGTCACAGATAGTAATCAGTTTCACAAATAAAATTACCCTTTCTACTTCTAGCTTGGCTGGAAGAAAGCCCTCATCAAGGGCTAAGCACTGTAGAAATAGTTGTAAGGCATCACCTACAAAGCCAGAGTCTTGCAGCACTTTTCCTTTCCGGAAGTAGACCTGAAAAATAGATACCATGAAGACATTTCTACAGAGCACGTAGAACGGCAGCATTCATCTTACAGGCATTACAACAGAGTTAGAATTAGAACCCTCCACGACAAAAAGAATGTAGCTCTTCAACAAACTTCAGCTGTGCACAGTGTGGATGATCTATATGCCTTGTCTAACATAGATCCCCTAAAGTGTTTGAAAAGAATCATGGCATAGGCTGGTGTTAGCTTCCTTCCAGTTAATTTGTTTTGGCTTACATGAAGGGTTAAAAACCTGACTACTGCTGAATTCACAAAAAGCCTTTATTTCCCCTTTCTGTGAGCCTTTGGAGGGGAAGAAGGGGGACATGCAATGCAATTTATTACATAACCTCATACAACAGCTTACAGGACACCCTTTTTGCCCTCTGTTTCGTTAGAAGACTTACAGTTCCAGCCTGCAGGAGAAGGGTAACTACAAAGAAAACTATCCACACAACCATGTATCCCTTACATACATCTTAGTCTGCATTCTTAACAAAAAACAGTGCACTTTTGGAATTGCTTCCTCCAACTATGTTTTATTCTTGAACATGAGACAGCAGCTAGGAAAAAACCCCACAACTGTTTACTATAAAAAAAGGCAAGAAAGGACTACTGAATTTTGCTGAACCTACCTGTAACTATATGACGTTGGAACTAAGAAGTCCCTTATCCAACTTATCCCAATTTTAAAAAGTTGTATTTGCAGTAATATAAAACCAAGTTAGATAAAAACAACAGTTATCTAACAAAAGTTTGATAAAACACCACCACCTGGTTGTATATGATATTTTTGGACAATGGGCCAGAACATGGAATTAAAAAAAAAAAAAAAGAAAACAACATAACACCCCCCAAACCCCCCCCGTGCAGTTTCTATGGAATGACTGCCAGTATTAACAGCAGAGTCTGTTAAACAAGGCTGTCAGATGAGGGCATGCATTATCTTTGATGGATTCGGGCAATTTCATTAAGATGTATCCTGAAGAAGGAAAGCATGCTAATCCTCCTCTTACAGACAGTTTATTTTCCTACAGAAATAAGAATTGTTAGAGGAATCCATCAAACCAAGCTCAGTTAAATGAAGTGAGGTTTCTTTCCAAACATATAGAAAAAAGTAGACAGTACTACCAATGCTGAGAGGTGAAAAGTTGGATGCTCTCTGAATTTGCAGTAGCCATGGAACTGCTGAACACAGGAGACACCAAGACAGCAGCAGTTACCTCCCCTTGTGTGGCAAGATCTTGCTGCTCCTGCTGTGCTCAGAGTTTAGACAGTGCTGCAATATGCAGTATCTTTCAGTTCTGATGGCCAAGTGACTCCCCAGCTGCCTGCACTATTTGCAAAGCTCAGTTCCCACTGAGTTTGTTTCAGCTTTTCAAAGAAAAAAAACTTTCCAAGCTAAAACAGCAGTGTCCTTCTCTTAATAAAAATTAACAAATAAACAAAGCAACCCCGAGCCCCAGCTGTTCCAGGTTACATCACCATAAACTATCCCAACTCCAAGTACTGGAGCCACTAAAAAAGGCCCCAAACACTTGCTTACATATTTTAGCCAATACTATTGCAAAAGAACTTATTGCTTGTGCTAAATATTTTTTGACTCTTTGGTAGCACTTGGAAAAGAAAACTGTGTTGTCCTATTTATACAGCAAACTGTTTTGCCAATAAAACTCAAAAACTATGAGAGAAATGTTGACTTAACATAGAGCCAAGAATTCTAGTCCTGACTGGCAACAATGCTCACTCATCTCATGTGATATTCTCAAGGAACAGATAATGCTTAAAATGCTCTGGCTTTGGGAAATACAATCAAAGTATAAATGCTTCAGGGAAGTGCAGAGCTTTAAAAGGATTAACTTGTACATAGCATAAGGAATTTTAAAACTTGATTACATCAACTGACCAAATGTACAGGCCTCAGAAGTTCTGCTTTCAAGCAATTAAAGCTGGCTGCACAATTTCAGCCAACCATCCAGTCAAATAACATTAAGCTAAAGTTTGTAAATATTTTATAACTTCTCTTAAGAGAACACATAGTGGTGTTCTTATAACAAAATCATCAATAACAAGGAACTACAGACAGCATGAAAGTACTTCATAATACTTCCCAAGAAGTCAGTTCTACTGCACTTAAGCCTTCATCCAAAGATACCATCTCATGTTATGAAATAAAAATACCGGAAATTTTTGATGAAGGCTAAATTAACAGTTCCAAGTAGATTCATCAACCAACTCGAACCTGCCATACTCATCAGTAGCCTGTATCAGGTAAGTATTTTAAGATACCTTTTAGGATTTTGCATGTCTTACAAGATAACGTTTAAGGTAGCTGACCTAGGTTCTTAACTCGATGCAAGTATAATTTAGAATTCGTTAATTTTATAGATAAACACAGGTTTTGAAAAATGAAGAGTTCATATCAACTTACCTCTGGCCAATTTGGCGTTTTAGAAATAACAAAATTTAGATCTTCTATGGCTGTTTTATATTCTTGGAGGCCAACATATGACTCAGCTCTGTAAATTCTTAGCATCAAGTCACTGGAATCTAAAGACAAAAATTAAGTAACATTTTTAATAGTTCAGAAATTTGTAATTTTTAATTAGATATGCTTTCATAGTGATATGTCATAACCACACTTTTTTGTACCATACTTTCAAAATTACTGGAGTATATTCTCCTCCACCCCCCCAGTGTTTGGGTAATAAAAGTGGCAGTAATTCCAGGCTCATGTCTTTCAAGCTAAAGATCAAATTTTGTACCCTCTAATGTATCTTGCAGCAACAAGAAAATATATTTTAAAAGCGCTAACACTGAGGCTGACAGAATAAAGTATTGGTCAGTACTGCTGTGACAACAAAAATTGAGGACTAAGTAGACTTTAGTTTTACAGTACACCCATTCAAAATCACAGAAATCTGGGAATTCACGGCACTTGTATTAAGAAGTCTAAGTATTACAAAGTTTGCTTTCAAATGCTCAAGTTTTTCTTTAGACTGTCATTTGTTTTTATAATGTCCAAGCCCTTCCAACTGTGGCTGGAGATACAGATGCCACTTCCACAGTGGTATCCATCGGGTAAGGACCAGAAGTAGGCTTTACCACTATGTGCTCTGAGAAGAGACAGCTAATACCAGAAAGCCTTTAACACCAGCTGGCAGCCCTGTTGTAAGGAGTTGTACTAGCAGAACTTCTGTAATCGGAAAACATTAGTATGTGTTCAGTAAAGACAAGTTCTCATGTCCAACATACAGCATTTTGCACTTGTAGTAAAGCAACCTCTAAATGGGAGGCACACCCATCTGCATGCCACTAAAACTATGGTTTTCATAACACAACTAACGGTAGTTGTTGCTTGGAAAAAATGCCAGCGCACTGCTTTGTTCTTGCTTTTTTTTTTTTTTTTAAATACACCTGTGTTTTTCATTGAGTGAGATAAACAAGTCAAACATTGGTCTACTGTAAACAATACTAAAATTAAATAGTTCTTTAACTTTGTTTCAACAAAATTTTCTTGGGAGGGGATCATTTCAAGTTGATATTCTATCTTAGTCTATTCAAAATGTCTGGTTTAAATTTTCATAATTTCCAACACTAGCTTGGTTTACATTTAAAAGCCAGACCGGTCAATGTTCCCATGTATTCCAACATACTGCTTTGCATTTAGATCCCCAATGCTAAATGTAAAAAGATCTCAACGGAAAAGAAAGGGTTAAGAAAATCAAAACCGACAGAAGATTTCACAGCTGAAACTTAAGTGTTGTCTTTGGAGTCGACAGTTTCCTTTGAAACACAAATATTCCCAAACCTGGTTTGTTTGGTTTTTATTTTATGTTAGACATAATAAAACGTTTGTATTAACAGAAGTCCGGGAAAACTGCCTTTGTCTAACTTAAACAGGTAATCTGCAAGCAGAACAACTCCGAAGCCTGCTTCCCTGTGGCTTAGTGACTGTGACAGCCTCGTAAAGCCGGATCTCGCTCGGATCGAGCTCTTTTTTTCTGTCCTATTTGACTCTTTGGTGTCCAGCAGAGTTAGTATCAAACCAAATGCTTTTCTCCAGAGGTAGCAGTAAGTGCAGGTCTTTGTTCTCTGATAAGCTACCTATTTGCACATAATCACAGGGAGCTCATCTTTTTCAGACTTCCAAGTGTAGAAGATGACCTGAGGAACTCCGGAGCCTTCCCTTCTAGGGGGAGGATGAGGCATAGTTTGAGGATAAAAATGCAAGTGCAAGTCTGCAGGCTTGCAGGTGGACATTTTGTCCATTTCTTTTTCAAAGAAAAAAGCATGGTTCCAATTGAACTGGTACAAAACAAAGGGCTAAACCAAGGAACTGGGACCCCAGTTCTGCTGCTGAACACACACAAACACTGCCAATGAATGAGCAATACATAAAACAAATTGGGTCTAAGCATTTGCAAGACCAAAAGATCTTAGTTTATATGTCCAATTTTGCAACCATAATTTAATTTTATGCTTTTTAATTGTGAAAACATCGTTCTGCACTGTTTCAGCATATATTTTAATGCTGGCCACCTAAAGGGAAGATGCAAACCTATTTCAAATCCTCAGACCAAAGACTGAACAGAGCAGAAACACAAACTGTGCTTGAATTTTCAATTTCAGTAACCCAGTATATTGTAAATACAGAAATCACTCACTTCTAGCATACCCAAAACCGAATTATTTTAATAAAAAAAGACACCAAGTACTCTCAGTGCAAAACTGTGCGTACCAGTTATTAGTACGTCAACACGAAAGTATACAAAGGTGTACACACAAAACCCCACTCATTATGAGTTATTTTTTTTATACTACTTCCAAAGCATCTGCTCCTGGCTGCTGTCAGCATAAGCATACCAATAAACAGACCCCCGCTGGTCTGATCCTGCATGCTTTTTATATGGTTCTTAAAAATACACCAGGTTCTTCAAAATAAGACATGCACATCACAGCCACTATGCCAAAAAACTTTAGGACACAGTACTTATTAATTGTAATTAATTGTATTAAACAGTACTATAAGGTCACCCCAACGATCAGGGGCTGGAACACACAACCCATGAGAAGAGGCCAAAAGAACTGGGCTTGTTTAGTGGACAACAATTCCCTAAGGCCTTGGGAGAATCCAACAGCCTTCCAGAATCCAAGAGGAGGCTACGTAGAAGACTCTTTACTGAAGTGCATGGGGGGAAAAACAAGAGACAATGGTTATAAACTGAAACAAGGACAGTTCTGACTTGAAGTAAGGAGAAACTTTTTCACTATGAGGATAATGAACCTTCGAGCAGGTTGCCCGGAGAAGCTGTGGAATCATCATCCTTGTAGGTTTTCATGATGCAGCTGGACAAAACCTTAAGCAAACTGCTCTGAACTCAGTGTTTATTCTGCTTTGAACAGGAGATTGATTGGTCAACAGACCTCCTGAGGCCCGCTCCAGCAGGGATGAGCCTGTGATTCAGACCAAACTCAAGCCTATTAGCTGTGAGTTGATTAAAGACAAGCTGCACTTGTATTTTAACCCAATAGACTTCCTTTGACCAAACCATTTCAACCCCTGCAAGGAATATATTAACTATATGAATGTTAACATTCCTCATGTTTTTTAAAAGTCACTTTTGCACTACATCAAATACTTTTCAGATGTTTCAAGAAGTGTAAGAAGGTTATGAAAAGATGCCATTTGAGTAAAGGTTTAGTGCCAATGCCTTATTTAGGACATCAGATTTACGTTTACCACAATTTTTTAACTCTCTATCTGCATTAAAAAGAAACAGAGATGAACTAGCAGTGAGGAAACACTGAAACAGAACATGAATGATTTTAAACATGAATACATTTCTTATGCTACATCTTTTCCACCTCTAAGTGTTGTCAAGAATTCATGCTCTGCAGGAAGATAGAAAGTATACCAGCAGTTATTAATTAGTTCCCTACTGGCCTGAAATCACCTTCAATTTGTAGTTGTGAGCCCACAGCTCTAAACTGACATTTCATGTACATCTGCATTCTGATTCCTGAAGTTTGTTGGTATCTTTACCAGAACGCTTGGAATATTGATAGTTCTCAGGACTGGAGACAGAGGAAATAGCTGTACAAAGGATCTTAAACTGAGCTTCTAGCACTTAATTCTAGCATATGTACTGAAACTGAATAATAAAATTGTGGGTAAGCATCACAGCTGATAACCATTCTCAAATTTTAAAGCCATTTTAAAGCCAAAATTTAAGATGTAGCTTCACCAAAAAAGGAATAAAAATTCTTTCCCCACAGATATCTAAATGGTATTGCTAAATCCATCACAGAAAGATTAACTAGAAACTGTAGAATTAATTTTCTCTTTTATTCTTTCAAACCAATCTTGAAACATGAAACAGGACCCCTCTAAACATTTGTGATCAATAATGGATTCATCAGTTTGTACCTTGAAGGCCACTGAGTTTTGACTCCATTTCTTTGTGACTTGTATGAGTCAATGCTGTCGTTCAGAACACACACACACACACAGAGTCTGCTGCTTACAGTTCCAAGATTTAAAATAGATCAGCCACTTTCTCAGGTCACACCTATCCTATATCCTACATTTTGGAAACACGCTGGCAAATAACATAGAATTGAAGGCCACAACTGAACCTCTTTAAATTAGGTTGCCAAAAGGCATATAAAATGTATCTGAGATTTAATCCCACCTACATTGAAAACAGTTTATTCTGGAACTAGATCTAACGTATCTCCCCAGAACAGATTGGAAGGATTCGACTTATGCAAGCTTTTGTTTTTTTCTCCGCTGCAGACAACCGTACAAATGTAACACACTTAATCTGTAAAAATATTAATTCCTAAATTTCTGGATAGAAATAAAATGGCACAAATGAAAATGGAATGCCACAGGTCACCAGGTGCTAAAATCCATAGTGGAATAAAAACAACGAAGGAATCTGTCACTGGATCCGTCTAGGTACATCAATCACACAAAATCTGATTTCCTCTACAAAGACTCAACTCTGAAAAACTAACCGTATCCCAAGCGCTCATGGTACCAGACATACTGTTTGCGATCGATGTAGGCTACTCTAAAAGCGTGCCTCTACCTCCCGTCTTTGTACCCTCTCTCAACACTCTATTATAAAACTTCAACCACCCCCACCTATGATGTCACTGCCATTACACAACCTGTCCCCCTCCATGCCTGTCTGCTTATGCAACTGGGCCCGGCCTGCTGGGAATTGTCTTGGTGACACTTAAGACTGTGAAAATAGGTCTCTCTCAGGAAAGCAGGTTAAATACAGCAACAGGATTTCTCCTGTCTTTGCACAGCGATTACTAAACACAAAACAAAACAAAGCCCACAAACTCTTCTGTAAACAAGTCCCACGAAAGCATGTGGGGGAAGGAAGAAAAAAAAAAAAAAAAAAAGACATGAAGAAGCCCAGGCGGGACGCTCCTCCGTGCCTCTGAAGCGTTCCCCACTACCGGGCTTGACGCGCAGCTGAGGGCCGAGCAGCCGCCCGTCCCGCAACGGGTCCCTGCGCTCCGCCAGACCACCGGGAGGTTCCTTGAATCTTCTCGGCAAACTCGAGCAAACTTCGGGTGTTGTGCACCGGTCCATTTACCACGGACAGCCTCGGCGGAGGGGCCGAAGGGCAGGGAGGAAAGGCGGCCGCACGCACT